CATCACTTTCCTTACTACGGTTGTATCATCATGATTATTTAGCGGAACATTAATCAAATTATAAGGAATGACTGTAATTCCACGGATTATACGAGGGTTGATCCAAAAGTAATGTCACAACTTTGATAAAACTGCTATAAATCGACGTAAAGCAGCAAAATTATACATGATGGAAGCTTTATTTATTTCAAGTCAGACCTGAAAAATTCAACAGAATAGGAGGTTTACTTTCAAAAAAATCGGATTTTAAACAATATGCGTTTGTGGTAGTCGCCGCACCTAAGTATAACGTCATATGACGGATACGCACCGTCATACTTTTGAGTGTTTGCCCTTCGTTTCATTAAAAATATTTGTGATTCGTAAACACTTTTAATAATTCTACATTCTTTAAGAATTCTTGATACCATTATTCATCACTCTATTCATAATTAAGCCCTCTGTCAAAATGTTTTGAACAGTAGCATTTAACAAACTTAAAAATGCACATGTCACTCTATAAGGCTGTCTTTTTTGACAACGTCAGACACCATTTGACGTTTCTGTCTGATCTCCTATCTTTCCGTCTTCTTGTCCTCTGCTGATCATTTCAGTGATCAATCATCCGCCCAAAATTTCTTAAACCATCTATTAAGATGCCTCTAATTTATATTCTTTATTCTGTAAGTCTGATTAATTAATTTAACTGTAGCTTGTGATGATTCCATTATTTTGAAGACAAATTGCATTACAACTCGTCGAGCCGTTTTCCCCCATTTAGACAATCCCTTTGTTCAATCCAACAGAGCAAAATAACAATTAAATGATCACAAATACCAATGCCGTCATTTAATTTTCAATTAAAGACTTTAAAATAACGAGGATTGTATCTTTTAGAAAATTGGGAGATTTGATGCTTTTTTAGAATCATAATAATGTGTTTGTCTTTTTAATTCTTAGAAAAGATACACTTTAAAACGTCACGTTCCATTGTGACGCGGCGACACCCCCTATGCTCTATGTTTTAAACATCTATAAAATAAATTCAAATAAACATTATTAAATTAAAATTTCAATGATAATTAGATTTATATTTGTGCATCTTTTGGTATATTGTATTTGATGATATGACGCCAAATATAAAAGATATGGACACTGTGACATTACTTTTGGATCAACCCTCGTATAAAGCTTTAACAGACACCAACCAGGTAATACTCAAATAATTTGGCCATGAAGTAGAGTCAATCCTTAAATATATTAATACCTTAAATATATTATTGCATCTCTAGATCTCTGGCAAACATTTCACTAATATAGAGACACTTGCTTGTGGAAGGCTAAAAAGTTTTATATGTACTTGGCACTTATGACCATTGGACAGTGAGGGATCGTTCTCGTGCAAATACCTTCTGAGACAAGGGACCTCTATTTATAGAGTGTCATTCGAAGGACTCTTATCCACCTCGCTCAATGAGATTTGAATCCAAGAATTGACGTAAGGATTAACTCCTTTTCCTAGACTCTATGGAGTATATGCTATTACCACTGCGCCATATGTAGGCGAGTTTGGAATTTTAAAGGCGGGCAGTGACACTGACTTCGGCCTTTATTGACGTCATAAACATTGTTTCTCCTGAATTATCAAACATAGGCATCCCCCTTTACCATTTCTTGGGTCATACATGTACATATAAACGGGGTTGCTTTTGCATATTTTACGTACCATAAGTTTTGTACATTTCTAAATAAATGTACTGCATGTACATACGGGAATTTTTTTTGGCAGAATCGTTGTCGCATCCAAATAATTCAGAAACGTCTTGTTCAACCGTTTTATTCATTTATATACAATGACGTGCAAAATACGTGTACATTTACATCTTTGCAGACTTAAATAAAATATTTATAGTCAGCTTTAAAAGTGCTCGGACACAGCTTTGAAGTTAATATTTTCTCATAATTTTGGTATAATATTATACATTTATTGACTGAGTTCGAGGGCAACATGCGTTTTGTCGGACCCAAGAAACAAAAATTATGCCTGAGGCCGTAAGGCCGAAGGCAGACACTTTGGTTCGAGGGTCCGACAAAACGCATTTTGCCCGAGAAGTCTGTCAATAAATGTTTTGCTATACCTTTTATTTAATTAATTTTTTTTACATACACGTTTTTACTGTATTTCGTGATGTAACATTAGGTTTGTCACTGTTTTACAGCAACGAATGAAAATGAGATTAAGCTCCGCCCATTCTGTGACGTAAGCGGTCCAACATCTCTCCAAGCGGTCCAACATCTCACTCAGCGGTCCAACATCGATTTTTTTATGCCCGCTCAGAAAAACATTAAAAATGTTAGACTTTTTTCCCTATAGATTTGTATAGGAACAAATTTTTAAAGGTATAACAACATGACTTATCTTATATATTATATAGCATTTTACATGGAAATATAAATAAAAATAGCACACACATGTGAAACATAAACTGTTTTGGTAAACAGGATTGACACGAGCTCTGTTTTGTTAATGTTAGCGTTTCACCGGGTGTAGTCAGTTTAAATGTCTTAAATTCTGCACAAATCACCGAGCACGGACTGATAACACTGAATTGGGTTTTTTTCTCACTTTTCTACTCTTTATATTCTGAAAAGTAGTTTGAATATTTTTTATTAATACACATCCAAATTTATTACCTTTCTTCAGTATTAAGAATAAAGTTTGCTTAATGAAAGAGCAAGGATGTATTAAGCAAGCGTTTCGAAATTCGTAGTTTAAATGATTTCCAGAAAAGGTATATGTATTATTATGTTTCCGTGTGGAAATGCTATCAATAGCAACATATATCATATTATATTATGAAGTTATGATATTATACCATAAAATTGAGAAAATATTATCTTCAATTCTATGTTCTAGGGCCTTTAATGGATGAAGCTCGCTTGCGCTTGCAATCGAAATAAAAGTTTTAATTCTACAATGATTACTACATTACAGAAATAATATACAAAGTGAAAAAATAACATAATAAACATGCACATATTAATGACAATTAGTTCCATTTACACCATAGGCCATGAAATATAATAATAAACAATCAAATCAAAAATTAAATGCACCTGGCTATTTATATTTAAAAAATCTTGTCAAGAAAATGTTGTTGAGTACTAAGTATACATTTCAATATTTTTAATATTTATAGTAGAAAAAGGATAACTATCTAACTTTGCTGTCAATCATATTTAATGACATTGTAATAGGAAAATGACATTTGTTGAATTCATACTGCCTGAGTTTGTTTTACTGAATAAACGCGAATAATTTTGACACTCTATAAATTATTTACATTATTTCAATTTCAAACATTGCAATACCCTTACAAATTCAGAGTAATAAAATTAACACCTGACATTTAAGTAAAGCTTAAATGAAGGATATGACCTGAAATTATAACTCTAAATAAATACACATAAGCATATATAGCAAAAATATAAAAGACATTTTCTTTGAACATTAGCAAGATTTTTGTCGAATAAAATATAACATTCTCTTTTTGCAAGAAATGAAAATGATTTCTTGTCAGAACCAGAATCTCAGTATAGCTTGTTTGTCAAACTGATGAGTGTAATCCATGGTGTGCTTTGGACTTTGCTATTTACCAGAACTTGTTCTTACTTTCATAACGTCACCGATAAAAAAAATCTTGATCTTCATCTGTAAGGCTGTTTAAAATTAAAACTACGTTTAACGTCACCCGCGCGCGTAGGTTTATGAGAAATTCGTCTTTGAAAAAAACAAACGATTCGGAATTCCGAATGTCCGTTCCAGTTTGGTTCTTCAATAAGCGACTGAATTCTACTTCCTGTAGTGACAGAAAATGTGCTTTGATAGCCGCAGTTAAGGCAGTTGGTGTCTTATTATTATTATTTATATTAATGAAAACTAGAGAATTAAAGAGTTTGGGACCATAAATGTAAGTAAAAGATAGATTATTTTATGATTATATAATGAAAAAGTCTTGTTTGTTGATTTTTTTTGTCAGTCTTCGAATCATATGTACAGACTGACAGTGACACTGACAGACTCTCAGTTCGTGATTCTATTGGCTGAACTTTTCATTGTATTTTGGAGAGAATCGAAAAACTTTTTTTACTGAGTGGAAACTGTGTCAAAAACCAAGATTTATATACAGTGAAAAGCATCATTTAAATCTTACTAATATGTTTCATATTAAAAATATTTCTGTAAAAATCGAAAGGAACAGTAATGAGTAAAGTAATTGATTTCTTCATAATTCATGTACCTACAAATAGCTACAATGTTTGGGAAAGATAATATACTTGTCATAACCATTTGAGCAGGGAGAAGCTTACCGAAGATAGGGCCTTTCAAGTGAAGGAGAGTAAGGAAAGTGGTTGGGGTATTCCAAGATGTGAAGAATCCTGTCTTTTGTGTGGAATTCAAGGTATTAAACATAATCTAACAGCTATCAGTATGGTCCAAATATTAGTATTCACACTTTCAAAACTTAATGCTAGTAGATCTAGTACTAAGAAAAAATACGACATAATTCAATTAGAGGATATTTCAACATGAACACTTTTAAATATTGTCATCAATAATTTTGATTGTAGATATTGATCAACTTTTCCCACAAGAAGAAGCATTTGCCTCCAGGGTACCATGGACGTGTGGCAATATAAATCCAAAGGACAACTGAGGCCTAGTTAAAAGCCACTTTCCTGCACATTCAGTCTTAGACTACATTGTTTGCTAACAATAGGACTCAAACTGATTTACATACTAAGGAAAAACTCTGCTAGGGAAATTAATCTTAGGTGTCGTATCAATTAAATGCTCTTATTACTTAATTGTAATGTTTTTAATGTACTGAATAGGTTAATTTGAATAAATTCACAATTGTTTGAAAATTTTGTTTGTTTATTTTTTTCCTCCCTCCCTCGTAGGTTTTGAACTTTAGATGTGACGTTAAACGTAGAATTAACTTTAAACAGCCTAATGTTCTTTTTGGACAGAAAAAATCAAATCTTATAATCAATATCTCTGTGAAAAGTTTGCGTTATTTCTGTTATCAGACTTTCCACTGTCTGTCTTATTTTTACGAATGTGAAAAGGAAGTAACGATTTATTTGAACCAGAATTGCATCATTTTAGATTTGTTAATATCATGCGGGTTTTGGAGAACATGTTTCGGGCACGGTCTTTCTTCTTTTCCAGTGATTGTTTTTATTCCTACAATTTGACTTTCCTTCAAAAAATACTCGTCATCCTCATCTGCTATGTTTATATCTGTACAAGAAAACCCCCTCTCATATTCAATGTGTCTGTGAAAAGTTTGCGTAATTTCGTTAATTAGACTTTCCACCGTATCTCTGATCTCTATGATGCATTTTGACTGCAGATTCATATCTTTATCCGCAGTAAAAACCTGTAACTGGATTGAGGTTTTGTTAACAGCAATTGCAATGAAATGACTAGCATCTTGAACCATGTAAAATGCTGCATTTTTACAAAAGAACGCCATATCAAGTGCCTTCCATTTCCTAAAGCAGTTTACAACCAGCCTAAAGAAGAAAAAGTGAGGCAAGTACGATTTGAAATGGAACACCATAATCGATGTTTTTTGTCCTTTGTTGATTGCATGTTGACAGTTATCAGTAAGCTCAGTTCTGTTCATGCTTGGGATGTAATATGTTTTACCCCTGGAATCATCATGAATTTCTGTCATTAAACCTAGTTTGTCCATGTATGGTAAAATATCATCCTTATGCTGAAAATAAGATTTATCTCCAGCATATTCCCATATCTCTTTCAGTTCAGCTGCAGTAATTCTTCCCGTGTTAATCCATTTATTTGTGCTCTTTATTCTAGCAAGGTGTTTCTCATCAGTTATGATGTATTTAAAAGCATCAACAAACCACTGAACGTCAACAATTATCACATTCTTCATTTTCTCGTCAGCAAAATAAACGATTTGACCTATTTCATGTAAAAATCGAAGGCCATCATAAAGATCTTTATTGCTAGGTAAATCCACGTTTTTTAATTCTTTTAAATGTTGTACTGAAATAACTCTCCGTCTATTTCTCTTCATCTCATTTAAGACTTTCTCAAGATTCACCCATTTCAAAGGAATTACCTCTCCCCACTGTGGCATCCTATTTACAGTCTCAACAATACATTTTCTGAGGAATTCAATAGAGTCCTGTTGTTTTGGTGACAATTCATTTGGTGGACATTCGACATTAAAGTATCTCTTCTGAGATATAAGGTGTTTCAAAGATTGTTCATCAGATAAACAGTTTTCCAGATCCTCGTAAAAAAATTTCTGCAAATCCTCTTTCTGTTAGAAAAAATATAATTTAAGATTATGCTTTCAATTTGTTAGTCTTCAAAAGAAATAATTAATAAGAATAGTTATAAAACTAGAGCCAAACTCGTTGCAAAGCAACGAGTAGGTCTTCCGTCCTGTTTCACCGGAAGTAACTTTCACTTGAAAAAAAAGTAATGAAGTCAAAAAATGGATTAATCCTCCAAATCTATGTTCATTATTGCAAATTTAAGCCATTTTTTGCAACTTTCGGTTTGACCGGAAGTACCGTCAACGGACGGATAATTAAGATTTAAGCTTCCAGTGACATATGATATCTAAAAACCTGTCAAGAACAATAAAAATATGCAATTTTTGACTACTTCCGGTTTGACCGGAACTGACGTCCCCGGATGTATTTTGACAACTCCATTCGATAAAATTTGACATTTTGAACAACTTTGCTAATTTGACGTATTATAAATTCTCAATACTTTTTAAGATTTAAAAACAAAAAATTTCAAGGGCCCCAGATCCCTAATTTTAGGGACCAGTCCCTTTTTAATGATATCAAATGAAAGCTCTTGCAATTATGCACAACTTTTATTCAACACATGTTAACAAAATGTTTTTAGTTTTTAAGATAAAAAGGAAAATATCTGTAAATTTTCGCTCTTTTAGGCGTTCTAATTTTTGACCGCTATATAGCGCCATTTTTAATGCAGAAATCGAAAAACAAAAACTGATGTGCACAACTTCAATCCTTCTGTTATCTAAAACAAGTAAAATTTCTGCTCCAGCTTTTGTGGTCTCTGAGCCTTTATCCGGAAACGAAAGCCTATGATTTTTCGTTTAAAGGGAAATATCTCAAAACCAGAAGTGACTTTTTGAAATTTTAGTCAGCATTCTGATAGAGTTTATAACGTCTATAACCTCTGAAAATTTGACCGAAATCCGTTGAGAAATGTGTGAGATTTGAGGCCTCAAAGTTGGCGTCCAGGAAGTAGAAGAAAAAAAAAGAATAAATAATCTTTACCAACAGAATCAGTAGAAGGTCTTCCGTTGGAAACGGAAGACCTTAATGAAAAGTAGTGCCACAAATAGTAAAACAAAAGGTCAAAGGACGTTACCGGTTACCTGATTACAATAAAACACTGTGAACGATCAATAAAAGTGTTAAACACATTTTAACTGATATATAAAGCTATTGTAAATAAATCGGTACTACATTTGGCGATGTTTTATATTTTGCGCTTTTGGAAGAAAGCAGAATCCACTTAAAAATCTACATCGGTAAATGCCTTGTATATTAATATTCATTTACATCAAGCAGATTTAGATAGCACTAAATCAAATCTACGCTAACCTGCTGAAAAATCTATCTACCCATATTGTATTCGTCAAATATTTACATTTACATTACAACATATTATGTTACCTAAGAATTTAAAAATAAGATGTGTTTGTGAAACACAGATGCCCCCGTATGGCAACATACTGTAAATCACCTTATGTTCGCGAGAACTTTATTTTCGCGTAATTACGCGAGATGATATGCTCGCGAAAATTTCATTCTCGCGTATAATAGAATTCCTTAGGATTATGTGGAGGAATGACCACAATTAGTGAAAATTTTGTCTTGTGAATAAAAAGTTAATGATTATCTCGCGAAAATAATGTGTCGCGAAAATTAAGTGATTTACAGTAGTAAAGATTAAGCTTTTCTTAAATGCTAATTTAATTAATTGGTAACAAAAGTATAGGGTATTCTCACTGGAAAACAATTGTGAAATTTGAAAATAAGCCAGAAATTTGAAAATAAGCCAATGTTTAAGTTTTTTCAATAAGTACAAAAATCTCCAAGTTCAAGGTAAAAAGGTCAATGTAATTGGTATCAAATGAAAGCTCTTGCAACATAGAATACTCCAGTACTTATGGAGAGTTTTGAAGCAATAGAGTTAAATATGTAAAGTATGAAAGCATTAGCCCTAACTAAAAGTTAAAAGTTACGGTCAATGTTTGCATTATTTAAAGTAGGCCAGTATCAAAGGTCAAGGTCAAAGGGTCAAAATTCTTGGTATCCAATAAAGGGTCTTTTCACAAGGATTACACATATGAAGTGTGAAAGCCCTATCCCTTACCGTTCAAAAGTTATGGCCAAGGTTAAAGTTTTCTCACAAGTAAGGAAATCTACAAGGTCAGGGTCAAAGGGTCAAGGTTGTTGGTATCCAGTGAAAGGTCTTTCAACAAACATTACATATGTGAAGTATAAATGTCCTGGTGTCTACTGTTCAAAAGTTATGGTCAACGTACAATTTCTTAAAAAGTAGGTCAAACTCCAAGGTCAAGGTCAAAGGGTCAAAGTTATTGTTATCAAATGAAAGGTCTTGTCATAAAGATCCGATAAGTAAATTATGAAAGCACTAGCCCTAATCTTTTAAAGTAAGGGTCAAGATTTGCTTTTTTAAAGTGGGTCAATCTCAGAGGTCAAGGTCAAAGGGTCAAAGTTCTTGGTATCCAATGAAGGGTCTTCTCACAAGAATTACATATATGAAGTATGAAAGCCCTAACCCTTACCGTGGAAAAGTTATGGCCAAGGTTAAAGTTTTTTCACAAGTACGGAAAACTACAAGGTCAAGGTCAAAGGGTCAAGGTTGTTGGTATCCAGTGAAAGGTCTTTTAACGAACAATACATATGTGAAGTATAAATGTCCTGGTGTCTACTGTTCAAAATATATGGCCAAAGTAAAATTTTTAAATTTTCATGTAAAAGTGGGTCAAACTCCAAGGTCAAGGTCAAAAGGTCAAATTTGGTGGTACCCAAAGAAAGGTCTTGTCACAAGGAATACAGCTCCACTAAATCAAAAGTTATGGGCAAGGTTAAAGTTTTTGCGGACAAACAGACAAACAGAGAGACAGACAGAGAGACAGAGAGACAGACAGACAGACAGACGGACACGACAAAAACTATATACCACCGAAACTTCGTTTACGGAGGCATAAAAAAACCCTTGATTATTGAACATCTTGTCATGATTGTGTAAAGGGATACATTCTTGAATATGAAGATGTTAGATCATGAAACATGTTCATAAAGCATCAACCACTAGCAAACCCATTCTTGTGTTGATAATTTTGTAGGATTTGAATTGTGTTCTTACCACTTTGTCTGCATGAGAAGCAACAATAATAACAGGATTAAAGCTGGCTCTTGACTCCGTGCTGTCCTGGTTTGTGTGTGTTTTTCCGACATCACAGTATGTTTGAATGGATTGCAACCAAAAATGAAAATAGTCTGAAAAGATCAATACTTACAAATATGTATGCTGTAAAGAAAACTTAACAACCTCAAAGACTATTAAATTTTAATTATGTACAAGTTTAGGGTTTCATTTATGACTGTAACCTAATCAATACAGTGATTGGTAAAAAAAATCAAAATGTGACATTTGAAAAATTACAGCTGAAATTTGTTTCATCAACTTGTTTGTCAGTTATTTTATCTTGGTTCAGAAATTGTTTCAAACGTAGAGCAACCTCTTGCGTATCGAAACAACTGAGATATATAAACTCCGGATGTAGGTAATGAAGGCATATTGATGCAAGGGACGTTGACTATAGAAAAGTTAAAATCATCACGACTATCATATATCTTGGTTTTTAGATTACATTACCATTAACGCCTTTTTCAAGTAAATTATCCAAATAAGTCATACATGTAAGTCATTTAAAATGTTACCCTTGCGATCATTTGTGTTGATCATAACCTTTTGACTCATGTAAAATATTGGGGGGGGGGGGGGGGTTTCAGATAAAAGCTCATTAGTATAAATCACCAAAGTTAACGTAGATATACGAATTCTTTTATCACAGGATCATCATTGAGGATTTAATTTGCATTGGAATCTGATGTCTTTTACTTGTAAAATACACATGTTATCTCTGACTTGTTAATACTTTTTCAAACTTAAATGATAAAGGGTACCTATTAACTGTTTTCACAATTGTTCTTTACCCTCTTAAAAGTGGGAAATTGCTTTTTATGAATCTTTGATTCAACGACTACTTTTGAATTAAAAAAATGAATTCTAATATAATAAATGCATTGCGTTAATTGCGAACTTAACCATGGTGCCGTAAGATCAATCTGTTATTCATAATGGACTGCTATTAAAATTAAAACCATTAAACAATAATTGAAATTGTATTGTGCAACTTTTCATGCCCGTTACATGTCAGCAATTTCATATTAAAACAATTTTAACAATCGAACGTTATAATTTTAAATAAGTTAGGTCTGTACATGTAAAATCGAAAGGAGAAAAAATTCGTCTTTATTTTTAAAGGAAGTAAGATTTACATTGGAAATCACCTTTGTATTTCCAAGAATGGAATAAGGATCCTTCTGAGTTATGGCGATCGCTGTCATAATTTCTAACTTCTTCATCCAGACCTTTAGACATGTCAATAACCACAATATAAAACGCTCTCCGTGACAAGTAAACCTGGTGACATGAGTAATAAGCCACTTGTCCGGCGAAGTCTGTCATACTGATCAACTTTGTACCACGGCTGCTCTGAAGATGAATGCCTGTGACGACCGTAGCTTTACCGGAAAACTCTCTTTCTTTATCTCTGAAATCTGATTTGATACAAAACAAAAAGGCTGAAATATGTGAATTTGCCATTTCTTAATGCAGACGAAATAAGAGTTACGTCAAGCACAATTATTCAATTTCAGCAGTACATGACTGTATAGTATTAATGTTAATGATCTGGAATAAGTTGAAACTTACATGTAATATGATACATTGTTGATTTGTAAAAGAAGAATTTATATACCATGTAAAGTGCCATCTTTAATTTCAAACAAATCTTCGTGGACCTCTAGACCGACAGTTGTCTCTGTAGGTTGATTTTCTTCTGTGTGTCTCCTTTGAAGCTTTCTAAGAAGAGTTGTTTTACCTGCGCCTGCGCATCCCACAATCATACCTCGAGCACGGAACATTTCTACTCTTCCGTGGCGGAGACTCTCAACAAATCTTTCTCTGGCACTCAAATCCCATTTCAAAATTTCCTCCGGTATGTTTACTAGATGAAAATTAAAAATTGAATATCTTAATTTGTGTTTTTAGAGATATCTGGTGTTCTCTCTGTCACCATGTTTGTTTAAGTCACGGATATGGGAACGAAATTTTGCATCCTGTCAGTAAAAAATAAGAGGATTGGAAATAAGCTGCCCCAGGTAATTTTTGGTTTCGTAAAATTGACACAGTGACTATGAAAACAGTTAAAAAGCGGACTGAAGGTGTAGTCAATTGTTTGTTAATTTAATCCTCACTTATTAGAGGTACTTGCATCGTTTCGATATTTTTGTTTAGCCATAAAAATATTAAAATATCAATCCTATTCTGGATGGTATTATAGTTATAAAGAATATTTTTATAAGATCCATGTAAACGAAATTAATGTAACGAGTTTGGCATCGTTGCAAACTATGGCTAAGCTGTAAAATCCACTCTCTGTCTAATGAATACGCTTAATATTAGAAATTGCCTGACGACTAAATTTTTATACCCCCCGCTTGAAAACTGCGAGGATATTGAAGGGTGCCCATCACTTATACAACATATCCTATACCACTTAATAACATATAACGATGCTTACACAGATTCTATTTTACAGTTTGTTCTGACACTTATTTTGGGTCTCCCAGAACAAAACATGGCTTTTGTCAATTAAGTAAGGGATAAATAACGAGATGGTGTTGACTAGCTGAGAGAAAACATTCTCTCCGAGGGCCGAAGGGGATGTTTTCTATAAACTTTTTAACACTACCGAGTTATTTATCTTAGTATACATAAAGATACCCTACTTTGGACCCAAAAAAATTTACCCATTCACATATTAAACTTTGCTGTAATACAATAGGCCGTAGCGCTAGCCAATTTAAGTATCCAACAGTGACACAAAACAATAGCCTAATCGAACACCCCTTTTATTCATGGACTAGTGAGCATAAAACTACATGGTTCTGATTTCATTTCAACCCTTTTAATTGTACTAAACAGTCATGAAATCAGACGAAGAGTATTTTTAAATCCAAAGTAAAGTAGAGATGTTCAGATGGTGTTTTGAATACTTTTGACTTGAAAGCTGAAGATAACTACAGAATTTTGATAAAAGGTTGGGAATTTTTCATTACATATTATAAGATGATGGTCTGTTGGGGAAGAGTTTTGGATTCTAATGGAGTTCCATTCAGACAATATTTGTAGTAGTGCTTAAAGCTGAACACGATTCGTAAAAGGAATGGGTCCGCCATATTTGTTCCCGGTTTTCGCTACTCTGCAAACCCGTATATAAAGGGCAAAACTTGGTCACTGTTCAGTGTAATCAGACAACATCGGTGAAGACGGACATATGCTATACAGGACTAGAGAATAATTACTTAATACTCCGTCTAATGCAGCAAAGTAAAATACTCGTACCAAATAAAGAAGATGGGCGCATTTGGCGGGTGATCTGCAGGAATCATTTGTACGAAACATTTAAGGTTTAAATGTCCATGATTTGGTTGGCTGAACATACCTTGTCAGATTTTACAAACACGTCCATGGGTTATTTTTTTTCATTTAGTTTGAAAGACATTGTGAAATTGTAACATTTAAGTCCATTTTTTTCTAGGGGGTACTATAACATAGTAATGTTTCACAAAAATTTAAACTTAAAATATTTAATGCATAGATGCATTATACGTCTACATGTACATTATTAGAATAGAAGATTAGAATTGATTTCGCTTGAGAAACAAAATTTATCTAATTCAAAATTTTAATACATCAGTTTGCATAAAACGAAACTGACAAAATAAATGGTTGTTTGCCTGAATAAAAAAAAAATTAACGCCCCATGCCAGACTCGAACCAAAAAACTTTTCGCTTCAAGTGCACTGAACAGGTAGCCTAACTAACTGAGCTATCACCGCTACACATGTACGAATGTTTTTAAAAGGGCAAGGACGCACCACATTGACACATTTGTATTTTTGGGGGAAAAGTTCATTTTTCGTGGTCTCTGGGTCTTCTCTCCATTTTTTAAAAAAGTGTATTCGTTTCTTTGAATTAAAATACACACAAATAAGAGGGTCATTCAAAAAGTTCGTAGACTTTTGTCCTAACTTTTTTATTTAACGTCATATTATATCCAAATTTGATACAAATATTTTAACAACAGATTCAAATAATTTGAGTAAAAAAATTGGAATGTATCTTCATATTTATTAAAATTACCAAGGATTTAGAACAGCAAAAATTGGGTCACGGAGCACCGTCAAAATTGAGCAATTTACTTATTTTCACTTTATAGTATTTGCAGCCATACCTCTAATAAATGGAGCTGAAACGAAATAAAATTTACATGTTTAAATAATGTATTACTGTATTAATTAAAATGAAATCAGGTTATGTAATATGTCGCTCTATTTAAAAGATATCAGTTTCTAAATACATATGGACTTGATTAAAAAAAGCAAAAAACTATGACGTTGGAGGACGTCACGGAGCAGCAAGTAGCAATAAAATTGTACTTTACATTCGTGAAACTTTTTCTACAAGCGTAGAAAACCCGTATAAACCAGGATCTGTGTGAATATAATCTGTGTATGTGTATTAAATGGAAAATACAATTTTTGAGTGGTAGCGAGTTTAAATCGGACAATGGATGGTCTGCAAAGTAACAGGTTAAAGTTTAAAATATTGTCGAAGGAGTTCGGAACGTCATTGAACGTGATGAGTGCTTTGTAGCAACCTCTAATGATAAAACGCCGCTTAATGATACAAATAGCATTAAGCGTTGCAATTGCAACGCTTAATGCCATAAATTATTGCATTAATAGCTGACATCATCAACCGCTAATGCTAAATCGCCGCTTAATGACAGAATTATATCATTAAGCGTCACAAATGCAGTGCAACACCTACGCTTAATGAAACAAGAAAATATCGACATATTCGACGTTTAATGATACAAACTAGTGTATCATTAAGCGTTGCAGTTGCAACCCTTAATGATATAAAATTTAGAAATCGCTTGTAATATCTAAGAGAAACACACAACCACCTTAATTCCTGAACAATGAGATATCACTTGTCAAAATATTTATATATGCCCTTGTGCTATATTAATGGTAATTATAGAGGTTTTACTGTGTTTTCTATCTAGTCAAGGAAACATCTTTAAGTCCCGAATGTTTAAGAGACAGACAGTCAGATAGCAGGAAGAAAGAGATACAACGAAAGGGATAAATAAAATGATATTCAAATCTTTTAAAAGAACCATTTTTTTTAACTGAAAATACAGAAGCAAACAAGCAATAAAATTCCTTTTAATTTGATACAATTATTTGAATAGTCAAACTGAAATATATACTAGTATATATATATATCATATTTGAATATTTTTATCGAAACTTTGTATTTTATAGATTTAATACAGCTTAACACATACTAATTCTAAATGACGCATATTTCATTTGTAGTATTTTTTCTTTCGATATATAAGACTAAGTTTACATCTGACTAATATTAAAATGAAATAGATTAAGATTTATAGTTCTTTTTTCGGTACAAGAGAGACCCTTTATATCAATACTAGTATTCATCAGAAGTATTTCGCTCACTTCGAATGGGTATTAAAAGGTCGCATGAAAGGTCCGACTATGCTTTACTTGCATTGGTTAATTAATACTTTAATGAGCTACAAAATATTCTCGTCTCATGCAACTACGGCTAGAAAGGGAGAGGATCGTACATTTTGACCGTGGTTTGCGACGTTCCAAAGTTTCCACTATAGCAAATCAAACATCCAAAGTTTTTACTTTGCTTCTCTAGTTAATTATATTAAACTATAGTAAATTATATAGTTTTCTATAGTATTTTTTTTTGTTAGGGATATTCTGCTATTTAACGTCAGCCGTGATTGAAAACAAGATGTGTTTGTAAAACACTGATGCCCCAGTATGGCAAAATAGCAAAGATTAAGCTTTTCTTAAATGCAAATTTAATTGATTGGTACCAAAAGTTGGATATTCTAATTGGAAAACAATTGTGAAATTTGAAAGTAAGCTAATGTTAAAGTTTTTTAATAATTACAAAAATCTCAAAGGTCAAGGTCAAAGGGTCAAAGTTCTTGGTATCCAATGAAGGGTCTTTTCACAAGAATTACATGTATGAATTATGAAAGCCTTATCCCTTACCGTTCAAAAGTTATGGCCAAGGCTAAAGTTTTTTCACAAGTAAGGAAATCTACAAGGTCAAGGTCAAAGGGTCAAAGTTGTTTTTATCCAGTAAAAGGTCTTTCAATAAACATTATATATGCGAAGTAGAATTGTCCTGGTATCTACTGTTCAAAAGATATGGCAAAGAAAAATTTTAAAATTTTCATGTAAAAGTGGGTCAAACTCCAAGGTCAAGGTCAAAAGGTCAAATTTGGTGGTACCCAAAGAAAGGTCTAGTCATAAGGATCAAATATGTAAAGTATGAATGCACTGGCCCTAACTCTTTAAAAATTATGGTCAAAGGATGCTTTTTTAAAGTAGGTCAATCTCAAAGGTCGAGGTCAAAGGGTCAAAGTTCTTTGTATCCAATGAGGGGTCTTCTCACAAGGATTACATGTTTGAAGTATGAAAGCCCAATCCTTTACTGTACAAAAGTTATGGGCAAGGTTAAAGTTTTTTAACAAGTAAGGAAATCTACAAGTTCAAGGTCAAAGGGTCTAAGTTGTTGGTATCCAGTGAAAGGTCTAATCTCTTAACAAACATTACATATGTGAAGTATAAATGTCCTGGTGTTTACTGTTCAAAAGATATGACCAAAGTAAAATTCAAGGACAAAAGGTCAAATTTGGTGGTACCCAAAGAAAGGTCTAGTCACAAGAAATACACATATGAAATATAAAAGTCATAGCTCCACTAAATCAAAATTTACGGGCAAGGTTAAAGTTTTTGCGGACAAACAGACAAACAGAGAGACAGAGAGACAGACAGACAGACACGACAAAAACTATATACCCCGGAAACTTCGTTTACGGGG